ATGTCATTGAGAGTCTCTTTTTAATATATTTGTAATACATACTTTCATATAAATCAGTGTTTTGTAACATGCTTTAGTTTCAATACATTTAATATATGGTAAGATGTCAAATTTTATCATACGTCATTAAAATTTTGACAAATATAACATTCATTGATTATACAAAAAAAATAAAATTACAATAGTGAAACGTCATGTGTCAAATGTCATTCACAGTCTCTTTTTAATATATTTACAATACACACTTTCATATACATTAGTGTTTTGTAACATGCTTTGAAAGTTTCAATAAATTTAATATATCGTAAGATCTCCAATTTTATCATACGTCTTTGAAATTTTGACAAATATAAAATTATTTGATTATACAAAAAAAAAACATAATTACAATTGTCAAATGTCATGTGTCAAATGTCAAACGTCATTGAGAATAAAGACTCTCAATGACGTTTGACACATATAATTACAATACATATTTTCAAATTATGTAACAAGTTTTTATAGTATTAATACTTTTATTATATAGTAAAATGTCAAATTTGATCATACGTCAAAGTTACAATAGTGAAACGTCATATGTCAAATATCATTAAGTCTTCGTTTAAAATATTGTTTTATCTATTACATGACAATTATAGTACACCATTAATGGAGAAACACTGGTGGTTGGGGAGACCGCAATAGAGGCAGAAGCTACGCTCCAAAAGTTTCCAGAAAGTATACGTTTCTTCTGCTCGTTCTCTCCCGCTCGTTGGTGTATCTTTTTTTTTTGTTATCCTTCCTCAACAGGAAGCGAAACTTTATTGAAAGACTCCATCTCTCTCTTTCGCCCTTATTTTTTCCCTCGGTATCTCTGTTTTTCTCTTTCTCTCACACCAGTTCATATATTATTATATGCCTTGGCATATAATACTATCTGCCATCGAAGGCAATACAGTTAGGAAGGGTAAAAGAGAAAGAGGAAAAGTATCACATATATATAGAGAGTGAAAAAAAAACCTTGGACAAAAAAAGCCTTATTTTTTCCAAGCAAAAGTTTTATTATTATTATTTCGTATTCTGGCCGCATTATGTACATTCTTTTACTCGCTTTTCATCATCCCCGGTCCTTGTTTCCTCTTTCGTTCCACTGCATCCCTCTTCCTCTTTCATCGCTTTTCAAAACTTCCCTAAGAAATAAAATATAACTTTGATACACTTTAAATGCAAATTGACTTTTCACAATTTTTTTTGAGAGAAAACCTGAGATGCATCAATATCCTTCAATTAACATGGATTGTCGTAGGATTTACACTTCATTAGATTTTTACTTCAAAGTTATAATAATATATTTAGAATCATTGAAATCACATTTGAATAATGTTTATTAAAAGGTTAAGTATAAAATCGTTTATTTATTACAAAAATACATTCACTTACTAAATGTATTATTAATATGGAGAAATTTTTTTTAACTAAGAAAAAACACATACATTTTTTTTAAAATGTAATATTACATACTTTAAATAGATACAAATGTAATTGTTATTTGGACGTCATGTGTCAAATGTCATTTATTGCATGGTAAGATGTCAAATTTTATCATGTCATTAAAATTTTGACAATATCCTTCAATTAACATGGATTTTCTTAGGATTTACACTTCATTAGATTTTTACTTCAAAGTTATAATAATTTATTTAGAATCATTGAAATCACATTTGAATAATGTTTATTAAAAGATTAAGTATAAAATCGGTTATTTATTACAAAAATACATTCACTTACTAAATTTATTATTAATATGGAGAATTTTTTTTTTAACAAAAAACATACATTTTTTTTTAAATGTAATATTACATACTTTAAATAGATACAAATGTAATTGTTATTTGGACGTCATGTGTCAAATGTCATTTATTGCATGGTAAGATGTCAAATTTTATCATGTCATTAAAATTTTGACAAAATATGACATATTATGATTGATAACAAAATTGAAAGCAAATACATAATACATACTTTAAATAGTTTTATACAAATGTAATTGAAATTTGGATAGAAAATTATGTTAAATATGTCAAAAATTAACAAAGGATTAGTTTGATCGAAGTGGGTTGATGCTTCAATTACATTTTTTTTAATGTTGATCCAGAGGGCGGAAAGGATAGGTATCTTCCGCCCCAATTAGCTCGGATAACTGAAACTCTATAATGTAATACAACAGATCATCGTTATAATTAGGGACTTTATGGAGGCCCCCTCTTTATAATGTTATACAATATTCATGAGAGGATAACCCTCTTCACGTGAGTACCGAAATAAAAAAAATATATATACAGGAAGCTAGTTGAAATGCAATTATACTGAACTTAGTAGTGAAATTGATAATTAATACCAGATTCCTGAAGCCAATTTATTTGTAATACATAATTTAATCTCATTGAATCGTGTAGTTTATGTATAATACATATAAAGTCAATTCATGTTATTCCCTTGATTCCGTGCTAGTTGATACTGTAAATCACGTAACTTTTTAGGAGCAAAGAGCCAGTTTTAAGATATTACTCTCTAAAATTAGCCTTGTGGGCCTCATAGATCGGTAATTTGTTTATAGCAAAGAGCCAGTTTTAAGATATTACCGTCTAAAATGGCGTGTGAGCCGCAAGTAACATTACGATTCCTATATTTACTAATGAAATTGCAGTGAGAACTGGGAGCCGCAATTTGTCATCAAAAAAGCTGCATGGGGCTCCAGAGCTGCAAATTACCGATCACTGCTCTTATCCATAGATAAATCATTCACAAAATTATAAAAAAAATCATAATCAAAATATTTTGAATGAAAAAGTAGAAAAACTAATACTATTAATTCACTACATTTTGTATAAAATTATATAATTATAAATAAATCTAACAAATTATTATCTTCAGGAATAGAAAGATATAAATTCACTAATTTTATTTATAAAATTACATAATTAAAAGATTTTAATTTGGAAAATAATTGTTTTTTTTATTTCAAATTGAAAAAATATTATGATTTATTTAATTTTATGAAATTATTACTTATTTTTATTATTAAATTTACGTCAATCAAACGGAAACGTAATAGACTGTAACTGTTGGTTTATTATGCATGTATTAACCTCTAGTTTAGTGGAGTTCATAGGGATTTTTGTTGCATTTTGAAACGTGTCATGTGGACCACCGAAATTCCGCATCGAATGACATAGATTATACATAAAAGCTGAAAGCTGCAAACATGTTATACATTGTCATTCATTATTGTATAATAATATGGTGGGCGATTTCCAACTGTCCAATGAGTGAAAGATCGTCGGGCTTTTGTTGCGTGTGATTAATACACTATGCAAAACATTTTGCAGTTAACATTTATGTATTTCAAATAAATTTTATTTTGAATTCCATAAATTTTTCACATTTCTCACTTTTTTATGATTTTGATTAAAACATATATAAACTTTTAGTTAAATTGGAGTTTAGTGAATATTTAGATCAATTTTGCGTGTTGAAAAAACGCTTAGTTAAATTGGATTTTTAAAAACGTTTAATTATATTAGAAAACCACTAAATTCTAAACAAATTTATAAAACTTTTCATTAACATTGCATTATAGAAAATGATATTTTTTAAATAACATCAAAAACCAAGTCTGTAGCTTTACATTATTTTTGTTAATACTTTTCCCGGGAATACGGGAAATCTATATTTTGTTTTGACGTCTTAATGACGTTAACTGATGTCATTGTGACGTACATCTACCACGTTGATTAACGTCAACATAGAGACCTTACGTCACAGTGACGTTTACATGACATTATTATAATATTGATTAACGTCATTGCGACGCCGATAGTCGTCTTATTTTCGTAGAGATTTATATAAGTTGGATCTTTACCAGTCAAAATCGAATTAAAACGTATATTATTATTATATAGTAACATATGTATGGAATAACATGAGTAAATTATATTCTGACTTGATATTATTATCAAATCATTATGTACCAATTTAGTATTACAACATCATTAATATCAGAGCTCAATCAATGGGGAATGTAATGAGAGTATTGTGATCATACTCAGATTTAATTGAATACAATTATAATCTCATCTTTCCTTTCAAAAAGAATCTCCCATATATATTTTTTTTTATTAGAAAATTTTAAACAATTTGATTGGATTTTTATCCAAATTATTGTCTATAAATAATTGTAAATATTAATAAAAATCAAAACTTAATTAATTTTAATGATTGATATAAAATAAATAAAGATTTAAAGGTGGAAATAAGAACGTTAAATAAATAGTTTTGAATAGGGAAGAATTTAGAGTGGTTTTCATTCTAAAATCGATTTGGGGCTTAAAGCTTAGAGTACGTGGAGTGCTTTGGAAACGTTTCAATTGTAGTTTTACGTTGAATACTTATCGGATATTATTTGATACTATCACCGTTACCGTTAATCTCTATGTAAACATCGGTTTAAATTGGAAAATTTCTTTAAAACTATACATGAATGAACTCAATTTCTTGGTAATTATTGAATTTATAATAATTGTTTATGATTGTTTTTGTAAATCAATTAAAATTCTAATATAAAATAATCATATTTTATTATAGACACTTTATAGCAGTATTTTTATTAAAAAAGTAATAAAAAATTCTAAAAAAAATAAAGAAACAAATAATAAAAGTGTCTCACTTTTCACGGGAAATTCAAATCTTAAAAATTTCCCGAGAAATATTGCAAATGCGGTCATTAGTTCTGAGAACGTAAGGAGCGCTCTTCGATGCGCACTGAAAACACTCCAAGCAATTGGTACGTAAGTGCAGGTAATCAGTACGAGCTTGTATCAACAAGAAATATCATCTGTAATTAATGTATTTATTCTAAAGCGGTTAATTCTATTGAATAAAGTATTTTGTTGAATCTTTAATTACATTTTAATCATTAAAAATAAAATTTGTTATTATTTTGGAATACTGATTTATATAAGATGGGTCGCAGAAAATCGAAAAGACAAGCACCGACTAGAAGGAAGGCGATTGAACCACTCGATCAGCAATTTAATTGTCCGTTTTGCAATCATGAGCAGTCTTGTGAAGTAAAAATGTGAGTTGCTTCAATTAAAATGTGCGAATAAGTTTAGATAATTATTACTAATTTTAGGGACAAAGGTCGAAATACTGCGAAGATTTCATGCAGAGTTTGCAAGGAGGATTTCCAAACGAATATAAACATACTTTATGACCCAATCGACGTTTATAACGATTGGATAGATGCTTGTGAATTGGCCAATTGATTTTTTTGTAATATTTTGCACTTAATAATTAATTTGGAAAATCTATAAGTTATGAAGTTAGATTACTTTTTATTATTTTAATTTCATTGTGGCACTCACTCCAGCCCGTTTATATGACGTACGGTACGGTGGATTCCAGGAAGGACTGGTAAGGGTTCTACCTCTTTTCTCTTTTGTCGCTCTTTTCTTGTCTCTCAATTTCCGGTAAGGTTCTCTGTATTGTTTCTTGTTACGGTGTCCTTCTGTATTTTGCGCTTATGATACTGTAAGATCTCTATGTATCCTGTGTTTCTCTCTCTATGTTATTAACTATCTGTAATGACCTCGAATAAACATATGTGTGAATACCGCCGTTGTGGAATTAGATGTTTCTACCCTTTGAATATACCTATAATCGAGCATCTACAAATTATAAATATTGTTAGTATTTATTTTGATAACAAAGTTTGCATTTACTAATTTTTAAATAATAGCTGTGATTTATTTTATGTTATAATAATAAATTAAAGCAAACAATTATTACCAATTTGGAATTGTCATAATAAATCACATAAAACCAATATTTACATTTCATTCATTTTACATAATTTATATTATATTTTATTTATGATACACCGTTTAGCACGGCTTCGATTAGTCCGGATTCACTATACTTGAATTTGAAAATTTTAAAACAAAAAAAAATTAATTGAGACCCTTTTTCTTCGAATTTACCAATATTGCTTGAAAACTTGCTTAGTGTGAAAAACTAAATACAAGAATATTTACTGTGAAAAACTAAATACAAGAATATTTAGTTTTTCACACTAAGCGAGTTTTCAAGCAATATTGGTGAAATGTTTCAAGATTGTTTAATTATTTTTTCCCGGGAAAACGGGAATTATATTTTTAATCGGTTGGGAAAATTGTCTTGACTTCTTATTGACGTTCACCAATGTTATTGTGACGTATGTCTACCGTCTTCATGACGTTGATTAACGTCAAAGTAGAGACTCTACGTCATTGTGACGTTCATCTCATATTGTAATATTGATTAACATCATTTTCACGTGGATCGACGTCTTATTGGCGTGACGATTTATATAAGTCTGAAACGTGCAAAAAGTTCTTTACTCATTTTTATTTTTATTCTAAACATATGTGTATCTAATTCCAATAATTTGAAAATTATTGAACAAAGTAAATTTAAAAAATAAATTCTAAAATAATAAATACAAAATTATTTATTTTATACATAAATAATTGGTTTAAAGACCAAGTGATGTTTCGAACAGTCCGGGACAAATGTTTCGAGTTTTTTTTTTAATTTCCCGGGAAAACGGGATTTTTTTTTAATCGGTCGAGAAGGTAGCTTTGACGCTATTGTGACGTATGTCTACTGTCTTTAAGACATTGATTAACGTCAACGTTTACGTCATTGTGACGTTCATCTGATAATATTGTAATATTGATTAACATCAAAGTCACGTTGATCCACGTCTTATTTGCGTGACGATTTATATAACTTGGATCTTTACCAGTCAAAATCTGCTGAATAACATCTTTTTAAAGTCGGAAACGTGCAAAAAGATCTATACTCATTTTTTTCTTCTTCTGAACATGGATGTGTGTATCTAATTCGAATGATATTGATTGGTAATCTTCGTGTGTGTCGGAAATAAATCTTGGTCGGGTTATTAATGTGGCCGGTAAAATATCGGATTGAAGCATACGTGTCGGGAATGTGTTCCAGTCACATCTAGCAAAGATTTAGGGGATTTTTCCACAGCAGCAGCCTGTGTGCAACGTGCGAATGTTATATATGTAACTGGTATTGTCCGTGCCGTTTCTATATCACACTTTTACCACTCTCTTTCTCTCTCTCTCGTCCACTGCAAAACCGCAGTTTTTAGCCTCCCCTCAAATTAATTCCATTCAATCGGAGGGTAATTGTTTGTACCGACACGCCGTTTCGCATCCTGGTCGGCGAAATTTCATTATCCAACTTTTTAATTAAAGCCACGCCGCACAGAAGGGGGGGAATCCCCGGGTATTAAACAACAACAACGACGCCGACGCTTCTAACGCTTATATATAAAAAAAAAGCTGCAATATTTAGCGTACACCGCAAAGATCATTTATTCATTATTTAATGCATTATTTCACCACCGAATTTAAAAAAAACACAACTTTAATTTCCAGGATAAATGCATAAACGTATCCATTTGGGTTGCAAATATGATACAAATCCCCCACAAATTACACCGAAAGAAAATTAACAATTTTTTTTTTTTATATTTTGTTTTAACGTGTATTTTATTAAATAATTGAAATAATACTAAATTGGTAAGTTTATTAATTATTATTTATTTATTATTAAATTACCTATGGTAATAATATTAATTGTTAAAATTAATTATATTTACTTAATTAATAACAAATATACATAACATATTTTCATTTGTTTGGTATTTCGAATAATTTCCATTCAATGTTTCACTATACGAGTAAAATTCTGGAAATTTTGAAACTCGTTAAGCGAGGTTCCACTGTAATTGATTATAGCGCCATCTATGAATAAAACTTGTACTTATGACTTTTAACGTTATTTTATTTACTACTAAACTTAATTATATTGAGATTCATTTTGCATATTGGATTTATTTAATTGTGATAAATTGGAAATAAAAAAGATATACAAAATAATACTTTTCAATTAAAACCAGCGTCAAATTCATGGACAAATATTGTAACGTATCTGTTTCGTATTGAAACTAGGTTGGAAATACCCGAAAAATAATATCAGAATACTATTATACTAAACAAATCTGATAAACTGAATTAAATAATATTTTAATTAACTAAAAATATAAGTAAAAAAAAATGGTTATTTTACATTGAATGATAGTTAAAATAAAAATATAATTTAACGACATCTATTCATTAAATTTGTACTAATAGTAACATTTTATATTTTCCAATTATTATTGGTCAAGTTAAATTACATTTTTTGTAGTAAAAAATAAGTTTTTCTTGTCTTTAATGAAAATATTTGTTATGTTAATGAACATTTAAATTTAATTATTTCAAATTACATAAGTAACATTAATTGTAATTAATAAAAAGCGAAATGTTATTGAAATTTGAATTATTTTTATTACCTATTTTAGGTTTGTTTTTATGTATTTCATAAAAGCAATAATTTTTTATATTCGTTATAATGTTATAATAGGGAATAAAACGATTACAAATGTGAATATTATAATTTTTATTTTATTAACGCAACTTAACTAAATAAGAATATATTAAATGATTCCACGCAGAATTATCGGGAATAAAAGATATTTTTTTCCTAAACCTAATAGCAATAAATTACATGAACAAAAATGATAAAATAAAAAAATATGAATAAATAAAACATAAATTAATTAATATAAGTGAATGAAAAAATTTAACAAACTGATAATTCGCGGATGCTAGATGAAGATTGTTTTATAAGTGTTTCAACATTATCAAGATTTGACAACATCTCACCTAATTTGAAGTCATTCACTTGAATGATTTTCCACAATTCTCTAGGCGTCTTTACTTGATCCATGTTTTGGATGCATTCTTTCGACAATTCACATATATTATTTACAGTCCAAATAACGAAATCTATTAAGTTGAGGTATTCATCCGGTTTTGTCATTAAGTAGACAAACTCTCTAAATTTGGACACCGAATTGCGGATCAACTCTTTTCCTACGGTTACTAAACTCTCCCAAAAGTCTTTCTCCGCTGTTATCCTATTTCTGCACCATTCATCGAGTATAGTGTCGTCATTTCCGCGTGTGGGTTGCAACGCTCTCTGGTAAAATATATTTTCTCTCGCAGAGAAAGCTGCTTTGAAATTTCCGACAGCTTTTGCAACTTTTGAACACCGATAATACAACTGTTTGTTGAGTGGAATGCACATGTTGATCTATTTGCAAGGGCCGAATGTTGAATACTGAATTTGGAAAATGTTTTACGTGCACTTTATTGAAGTTGCAACAAAATTCAGACATGCGCAAAAAGTAGTGTTAAATATTTTCTGGAAACACAATCATAAAAAATAGGGTTGATACCTGCAACCCTACGTAATTACTTTTTAATTTTGAATTCGGATTTCTTAAACCATAAATCTGCTCAAATTCAAAGAATTTCTTTTTTTTACCTAAAGGTTTATTTTGTTAACGCAGACGTTAGAGAGTTATTTTGGTTTATTCCATAGCTCGCTTATAGTAAAATACATATATATTGCTTACATTTGTAAATATTACTATGAACGATGTATAGTTTTTCCAGGAACAAAAATTATATCCTGGAAAAGTAACTCTCAAGTTATATGCACTGTAATTCTAAGATTTCCAAATACAACATATACATACCTCGCATAGTGCGGCTTCGATCAGTCCGGATTCTTAGGTATAAAAGTTTAAACACAAACTAAATTTGTATTCAGCTTGATAAAAATGATTACAGAATATATATATTTATATAAAAATGATAAGTTTTTTCCTTTATTAAATCAAGTTTTTTTTCGTAACAGCCGTTTTGTTAAACAGTGCGTGGAACCGATTATCCGGACTATGTGAGGTGTTTCTCTATATATTTTTACTTTCTCTTTGGAAAAACGAGTTTTTACTATATACAATTTGCATTTAATATAAAAAATAGGAGAATTATTTCTTAATTTTGAAAATTTTGCTTATGAAAAAATTAAAAAAACGTATTTTTTCCATATTTTTTTTTACATAAATTGAATAAAAAACAATGAAATTGCTTATTATAACTAGGCATTCTAGAATATACCTAAGACAGTTATAATACGTTGATGATTTAATTACTAAATGTGCTTATATAAAAATATCCAAAAAATTGTCATATATTTATTTAATTAATATAACGTAACAGGTAAGAATCCCACAGTACCACGACTCCACCCGAGGGTTCCTCTCCTCTACGAAATGTTATAGTTATGTCTTTAATATGCATAT